TATAATAAGTTAAAAAAGGACGAGAAAAAAATGGTACGTAAAATAAGTTGCTTCTATGATATACCCACATCAGTGTATTAGTACGTATGAGAGAATAAGAATGGAAGATTATAATATGTATCGCCTGGAATTTGATCAATGTAACCAACTGCATTAAAAGTGCCAAATTTTTAAAAGAATGTTTTCGATATTTTTTTAAGACATTCTATAAAGTGCATGAGGCCTTCTGAGGACGCCAATAAACGAAATAATTTTGTACAGCGATCTCGAAAACTCCCCGAGTTATTTTTTAAACAGATTTTGAATAAAAATGACATAAAACTGGAGGAGACGAAGTCTACTCTGGGTAATATCTAATTGGTACATTTACCAAAACAGTGCCTACATAACTGGTATAATTCAGTCTACAAATATTTAGCAATAACAGGAAAATACAGAAACAAAAACAGGCTCTTTATTAAAGGCTGTTAAAAATAGCGTGGTTCCCAAAAATTTTGCCCTAAAATTTTCTAAACCTTTTGATTTTAAGGAAATTGACTAACATTTAGTGCAATGTAATAGACGTGTAAACGTGTAAAATGGCAATACCATATCCCATCAGTGTACGAAAATACACGGTTCTGTAGAAATATAGCGTTGATTAAAGAAATATTGAATATGTTAGTTTTTTATTCACTGCTCCTTACTCCTACTATGTATTCCCGTAATGACAAAGTAAGATATTTTTTAAGACAATATTTTACTGTTTTGTGGAAGTTAGAGGGTGTTCTGATTTTATTTCTACAAGCAAGTGAAAACAATTAAATTGTTATATATACAATATCATTATTATACAATAGCAAAATATTTTAAAAATTTTCACAGAACTACGTTCAAGAATGTTACAGATTACAGATTACAGCTAGGACGGTTCTCGGCCACACTGCAACCTTTATATCTATTGTGCTTTCCTATATCACTTAGAGATCCTCAACCAGTCCTATATTCTTAATGAACTTCCACAGCCTTGAGAGGGGCCCTTTCATATAGAATTATGCGTTTGGTTTTTTTCTCCAAGTTCTAGATACTTCGGCCTTATGAGGTCAACGGTGACGTAAGACGTGCAGAGCTTTGTCTTCTTCTTCTAGATTAACCAAGGATATAATGTAATGGGAGGGAGATAGATAAACGTTGTTGAAATGTAGCAAAGTAGTAGAATTATTAAATGCACTGTTAAAAGTAAAAATCCTGTCCAGGACAGCCAAGATTTAATCTTATGAAACAATAGAAGACCAACGGTGTTATATGCATATAAAACTTGGACAATGAATCAGAAAGGGAAAAAAAGTTAAAGATCTGGGGGAAGAAAATCTTGAAAAAAGCATAAAAGTGGTTAACTGAGTATAGCGCAGACGAACAAAACAGGAGCGAATGGTTATGTATAAGTTATCCAAAATAACACAGAAAATCAGGACACAAAAAGTTAGATGGTTGGGATATGTTGTACGAATACCAAAAGAAAGAAATGTCCTAAGAGTTCTGCAATCGGGAGAACAATGGAAGAAAAGAAGCAGAAGACCACAAAGGAAGTGGCTTGATGCCGTCCGGACTGACATAAAAGAAATGGGAACAAGGAACTGGAGAGAACAAGTGAATGACCGAAAAAGTGGAAGAAACTAGTCAAGACTACCGAAGCTAAAGGTTTCTAAGGCTGTAGTACTATACAGGGAAACGTCTCATACGCTTCTGTCAGGAACAAAAACTATTAATAACTAATACTTTTTTTAAACTGCCCCCTCGCAGACTTTACACCTGGAAGTCGCCAGTAGACTCGAAAGAAACAAATGTAAGAAACCAGATCGACTTCATTGCCATACCAGAAAGATTCAGAAACTCAATCACATCAGTGAAAACCTATCCCGGGGCTGACGCTCAATCGGATCACAACCCAGTGGTAGGTAAACTGGGAATCAAACTAAAACGTATAAAAGGGAAGCCTAACAAAACCAAGATAAACATTAGGAAATTAAAGGATCCCAACATTAAACAACAAGTACAGGAATCCTTAAGAAGATACATTGGAAACTTGAGTGAACCCGCACAAGACGCAGTTGCTAAATGGGAAGAAATAAAAAGAGCTGTTGAAATGACAAACAAGACACTTGTGTTATAGGAGCGCGTAAAGAAGAAAGAATGGATGACGGATGAAATCCTTGATATGATGGAAGAAAGAAGACAACACAAATGCAAAAATCAAGTGAAGTATTAAGAAACAAGTCACAATATAAAAACAAAGATAAAGGAAGTGAAGGAACGCTGGCTGAAAGAGAAATGCGATGAAATCGAAGAGTGCGACAGAAGATATGACTACCACAACATGTACAAAAAGATCAAAGAATTAACAACTAAAAAGAAAACCAATAATCCTCACGCAACACTAATAGACGCAGACGGTAACCTTATATCAGACAACTTGAAGCTCATTTACACATGGAAAGATTACGTAGAACGACTTTTTAACGATAAACGCAGAGCGACAGTGGACCAAGATGACGACATGACTGGACCCGCTCCTGTTCAATATATACTCTGAACAAATCTTCAGAGAAGCACTGGGACAAGTTTCGGAGGGTATCAAAGTAAACGGAGAAGTAATCAATAATATTAGATATGCTGACGACACAGTTATTATCGCAAATGACTGCAACGAGCTTCAAAGACTCATGCAAAGCATACACACAGCAAGTGTCAAGAATATGGTTTGGAACTTAATAAAACCAAAACTAAATGCATGCTCATCAGAACACAACAACCTCCGATGCAATTGACATTAAACAACCGAAAAATGGAACAAGTGGAGACATACACATACCTTGGAACCACAGTCAACACAAAATGGGACCAGTCAACAGAAATAAGATCACGAATTGAAAAAGCGCGAAACGCGTTCAACAATATGAAGAAGTGGTTCACAAGCAAAATCTCAATGGAACTAAAATTAAGACTGGTCAAGTGGTATAACCCTGAAGAAACTAGAATCCTTTGAGCTGTGGATATATCGCCGTATTCTTCGGATATCCTGGACAGACCACATCACTAACGTGGAAGTAATGCAGAGAATAGGCAAAAGCAAAGAAATAATCTTCACCGTAAAGAAACGGAAGCTTGAGAACTTCGGACATGTCATGAGGCATACTAAGTACCGTCTGCTACAGTTAATAGTCCAAGGAAGAATCGACAGTAGGAGGGGACCGGGAAGAAGACGACACTCATGGATGCATAACCTGCGACAATGGTTCGGCCTAACATCGACCGAACTGTTCAGAGGTGCCGTAAATATATATATATATATATATATATATATATATATATATATATATATATATATATATATATATATTGTTATGATCTGTAAAATCGAGAAAAATATTGGTTTGCTTAAAATATTTTCAAAAAATTAAAATAATTCAGATAAGTCGAATAATAAACTACAAACATTTCCAAGAATGAAAGTCTTTTATCTTTGGATTACCTATATTGAACAAAACGTAAAATATGCATAAATTATTTCTTTGTTAAAATATATTTGAGTGACGTGAGGAGCTTAAGTGAAATCTTAGACAATGGAAGCGGGTTTTCCAAATAAATTTGTGCAGTAATTAGGACAATAGAATAGATTTTAGAAAGATATGTTTTTGTTAGTTCATAAGAATTGGTAAAAAAAGATTAGTTGTTTTAGGAAATTTTATAATTGTAGGTAAAAATTTGTTTGTGCTTTCGAAATGAAGATATAGGAGATGTATGACGCGTTTTGATTGGATGAGATTGAAAAAAGGTGGGATGGTTGGTTTGAGAATGAGACTTTAGTTAGTTTTGAAGAAAAAATATATAGTTAGTTGGTTTCCAAGGGTGCAAGGCGAACGGCCTTTGTTCTCGGGTAGTTTCCCAGAGGTAGGAAGCAGTAGCATTGAAAGTTTGTGAGTTTTCGTGTAGTTAGTGTATCTGACAGAAGCTGATCCAGTAAAAGATTGTAAGTCATATTTTTCTACTTATATTCCAGAGTCACTGTTCAGGCCAACAAGAGATTCAGTTTATCGTAAAGAGAAGATATTCCAAGAGTCATTTTTCACTCAGGCCAACGAGAGATTCAGATTATCGAGAGGAAAAGAGGCTAGCATAATTTGAACGATCCGTGCATTTGAAGGATATCATTCAGGACGATAAACTTGCAACAATTTGTTGTAAGATTGCTGATTACCTAGGGAGCTGCTAAGAATAGATAGTATAGGCTACAAGGAACAAGGATTTGGACCACTCATCATCATAGAGAGATAGTTTTGTTTTTCTGCAGTTTTTTCTTTTATTGATAACACAATTTTTACAATTACTTTAGAAAAGATATAAATATTTTGATTAGGAGATTTAGAATAATAATTAGGATTTTGAGATTTCACCTAATATTGTTTGTACCATTAATTTTGAAGGTTCACGTACGTAGAACAAAATTTTGAGAATTATTATAGATTTTTGAGAATTTTGAGATATTGTTTATTGAAAACATTTTGAGTGTGAATTTTATTTCATTATTTTTATTTCAATATATAATGTTATATCATATATGTTTTTTAATATTCCGGCATTCTTTGGACCTTACCTTTCACATGTAAAGCATAGATATTGAAGCACGAATATAACCCTGAGATAAGAGAATTAAAAAGTGTGATAGAATCATAATCATATCATTTAAATAATTTTAATTAATTAATAAATTAATTAGCTAATTAATTGCTTGGCGCACTAAGATTTTGAATATCACAATAATATTATATATCCTGATCTGAAATTATTAACGAAGGAAGAATAAAAATTGATTTCAGATTTTGGAAAATTTCCAATAAAGTTTAGGTATAATATACTTTATGAGCAACCCTGTAAAAAATGATAATGGCCTGCTTCTATGAAAATAACACAATGATCCAAGCAAAATTAAATACTCACCTTTAGTAATTATGATTAATGTATGCTTTTACATGGTTCGCATGGTGCTAACATATATATCAGTATATTTTAGTTGCCGCCTATAACAACGAGTGCATCAATGTTTACTTAGGGTTGAGAAAATCAGACAATAATATTTGTTAAAAACGATAACGCACTACTAAATGCCCTAAGATACCAAGTTTAGAGTAAACATTAAGACGTTTGATTCTGGTACTATCTGCACCACGAACATAGTGATAATTGATGCCCGATACGTCGCGACCATGGCTAAAGAGATTCTTATATTAATTTTCTGTGTAATTTGTGCTAATTATGGAGTAACTGGTAAGTTAAAAGATTTTTCTAACTTTATTTTTTGTTTTTGAAAGAAAAGCTTAAAGATTTACCCATAGTAATTTTGTTAAATTTCATTAATATGTATAAATAGTAAAATATAAGGAGCTACTTTTTTATAAAATCATTAAAACATAGGTTTTTCTTAGGTATATCCCATTTAAGATTGGTAGACTTAAATTATGTAGAGTTACCCTATCTTTAGAGAAATTAATTAGCACGTGCATTTCAAGAGCGTCAGCTTCTCACTGTTAGAAATTGATAATTTACTTTTCGCCTGATATCTCTGATATATTTCTATATATTCAAACAATAATAAACATATCTAGGTTCTGCCTCTTTATATTTATGATTTTCTTTTTTTATCACTACTTCAATTATTTATTTTTCTTAGTTGGGTAATGTTTTAATGAGATGTATAAATTTAATAAATTGGTACTTCAATTAATATTTTCATATACTTTGTGATATTTAGAATGCAATACCTATGAAAACTATTTAAACTATTTTCATAATATGAACATATTATGTTTTTGGTAAATTAATATCTTAAATTATTATTAAATTATCTCAGATTCAGGACAATTTCTTTACTGGAAATTTTTCTAAAAAATCTGCGTTTAGAATTTTACAGAATTATTTGGAATCTCTACCAAGTTACATTAAGTCCCATAAATTGTTAATGGATGAATTATATGGAGACCTATCTGAAAAACAGTAATTTGAGAGTTAGAACGAACCTGGAAGTGACTGTTTTTTTTTCTTCCCTTGACCCGTCTGATCCAAAAGTTTCCCGTTATCACTGAAGCTTAAGTTTATTGTGTTGTTTCCTACATTCAGCCTACAATTTTTAAATCCTGTAGAAATGTGTGTAGGTCTATTGCTTGGTGTATTCTAAATAAACCAGTTTCTCCCCTAGGTTGCCCTTATAGTCTTTATCTTTTGTGCAAGAGTCTGCAGTTATGTCTCCATTACTTGTGGCTATTAGTCTGTGAGGTCTTGCATTATCCTTTTGAAAATTATATTTTTTAGTTGCTGAAAATATAGAACAAGAACTAGTTCGGCAACACTGTGCTGTAGTCTTAATGAATACCTGCTATCCTACGAAATTAGATCCTATACGATAACTCCTCGGGAAGCATTCGCTCATAGGCAAAATTTAATTTTCGAATTTTACGAAATTTTCGGAAAACTCTTCTCCGTTTATGATGAACATAAAAAATCGAGACCCATTACTGAACACAATTTGATTCCATTCCTGATCCTATTGGACACGTTCTTAACACCACTGCAATCTCAAACTTTATGTTTTTTGATCCATGGCAACATAACACGCAGTTCGTAAGACTGCAAGATAAAAAGTATGGTGCTAAGATTAACTGATCGTATATAATGTCATTGTCTTGTAGTTGCCGGTCTCTCCGGTGCTACTAAACTAGAGGTAGAAAATGGGTATTTAATATTATTTACCTACTCTTAAGAGGACCTTCATGATCTGTAGTTCTTCTAACAGTACTATTGCCTATAATACATTATTGCGTTTGCTTAGAAATCTACCAAATGGTAATCCTATTAACATTTAATCCTGTTAATTTTCCGAAATACTACAGTGGTCAGATACGAAAATACCACTGAACCTCTAAAAATCATACAAACAAGCTAAATTTTTCTGGGAAGGTCAATTTTGAGACCCCAAAAAAGATTACCACTTTTTACCCCCTGCTTCTCTCTGAAACGTCACCTCGGAGGGGGGGGGAGAACGGTAAAAATCGATTTATCAAAAATCTGTACGACGTAGACAAAAATGTTTATTAGCAGTTTTTAAGGAGAATGAACCGTTCTTTCAGAAACAACGCTTGAAGCGACCGGTGATTTTGAATCTCAGTTATGCGTGCGAAATAAAATTTATGTCAAATCGACGGTATAAATTTTTTTTATAAGAGTGTGCTATAGACAAATTTTAAAATGCGTTTTAAAGGTGAAGAGTGCAGCTTTTGTATGCAATTTTTATATTTTGCCGCAAATAAAGTCAATTGTTATAAAGGTGTTAAATTAATAAACATTTTGATTTTTCTGAGATCAATAAAATTTATTAGTTTCATTGACCGGTCACTATGTAATTGCTATTGTTAGATTTTAATATCCAAATCCTGTACAATTTTTAGTTTTGGCAATAAATGTCAGGCATTTTAAATATGCCTAAAAACGCTGAATTTAAACTTTCATGTTTTAAACGATCTAAATCTTTTAAAAATGCAGCTTTTTGATGTCAGAAGTACCTACTCTTTCGAAACTATATAACTTCAACTACAAATTCCACTCAATACTACCTTCGTGGAGACCTTTTTCATGACGTGTGATCATTTGTACTTTAAGAGTTTAAATTCTGCGTTTGGACATTTTAGTCTAGTTTTAGAGATTTGGTTCAAACAATGGAAATTCTATGTCGAACGGTCAATAAAAGTGATACATTTTATTGATCTCATGATAATCGTAAAAAATGGCAAAAATCGAGCAACGTTTTTTTATTTAACATCAATAGAAAAATTTCGTATGAATGCTGTACCCTTCACCGTTGAGTTGAGACAAATTTTATTTAAAATTTATTTCGCGTGCGTAACTGCGGTCGCATTCAAAATCAACGGTTGCTTCAAGCGATATTTCTGGGAGAACGGTTTATTCTACATAAAAAGTGCTAATAAACATTTTTGTTCAAAATGACCTCAGCTACATTTTTTATTTGAAATATTTTGATCTACGACGTACAGATTTTTGACAAATCGATTTTTTCCGTTTTCCCCGCGACGAAACGTTTTAGGGAGAAGGCGTGGTGTTAAAGTGGTAAACTTTTTTTGGGGTTCCAAAACTGAGATTTCCAACAAAATTCAGCTTGTTCGCATGATTTTTTAAGGTCAAATCTCTGACGACTGGATTAAAAATATATCGGCTTTTCGCAGTCGTATATTTCTGCCTTCTTTAAATTGACTAACAATTCTTCTTCTTCTTAAAGGAGGCCTATGTGTGCATTTTGGCATAGCGGTCTACCTTATATTGTCTGTCTATTGTCAGGTGAGATGTTAAATAGACAGGATTAAATCATCCAAATTATAGCCAATTTTGACGTCCTAGTCCATTATTAGTTGATTTTGATGATTAGGTATACCAGTGACTTATTTTTAGTTGAAGATCCCAACAATTTTCTTAATTTTTTCGTGGAGATTGAAGCTGTTGCCGAGTTTAGTCATCCACATCTCTTTCACCGCTATAATTTATTTACGAATTTTTCTGTATTTGGTCCTGCCTGACCTTATAATACATAAGAGAATTATTATACGTCATATCTTTCTGATAGTTTCATGTCTGAAAATAAGAACAATATATATATTAACAGTGTCTTCGAATAAAAAAACCTGCCAATAATTTAAATTTGATATCTGAATTTAAAAAAAGTCGCTACTTTTGATGTAGACATTATAGCAGACTTGTTTAACACAATATACAAAACAGGACATATACTGAAACACTGGTTACTCTCCACCTTTTGCGGTATCCCTAAAAATACAAACGCTAGAGACTACAGTGAATACTGAACAATATCATTAATAAGTTAAGTTCTCAAATTATTTTTGAAAATTATACATGGTCGTACGAATACAAAACTGGAGGTAGGAATAAATGATAGACAGTTTTGGTTCAGAAACGGACCAGAGAGGCGTTATTTGCTTTTAAGATGCTTAAAGATGCATGGATATGAATGTGGAGGTGCATTTTTGTTACGTTGAAAAAAGCGTTTGGCAAAATAAGACATAAAAAATTAGTTCAAATTTTAAAGACAAAAACACAAATAAAAGGGACTTAAGAATAATAACAAACCTAGATAACAAAACTCTAATAAATTGTAATAGATACTAAATCAGTTCAGAAATTTAAATCAGGAAAGGATTTAGACAGGGATGTATTATGTCTCCATTACTATTCAATGTACATAGTAAATCCATTTTTGAAAAATCATTATGATCTGAAAGTGAAGTAATAATAATTAACAAAAGAACTATTAACAAGACAAGATATACAGATGACACCATGATTATGGCAAGTTCTGCTGAACAACTCCAATTACTACTAAGAAAGACAGAACAGTTTTTGAGAAAAATATGGACTAAAAAGGAATATAAAAAAGACTAAATTTATGATAATAACAAAGAAAACATGTACCTATAGAAAGGGTTGTAAAAAATAATTACCCGGGAATTTGTATTTTAGAAAATGACGATCAAACAACATAATTATTGACTAGAATAGAAATAACAAGAAATACGTTTATAAAAATAAATCTCTGTAATAAACACTTTAGATTAGAACTGAGAGTAAGTGCTCTGAGGATGTTACCTGTTTTCGATACTACAATATGAAACTCAAAGTTGGACACTGTCGCAAAAACACATAAATAAACTAGTCATAATATGTGGTGTTGCAGAAGGATGCTTAGAATAGCATAAATACTGAAGAAAACGAAAACAGAGGTATTGCGAGAAATAACAAAGAATACGAAAGACTAAATATAATAAAATAAGAAAGTTGAAGAATCTGGAACTAAAGAGGGAACAGTGATATGCAATGCTAAGATTGATAATCCAGGGAAAGATAAGAGATGGAAGGAGCGTAGGAAAAAAAAACTGTTATGGTTGAAAAATTTAAGGAACTGGTATTAACATAGTTCAATAGAGCTCTTTAGAGCAGAAGTAAATAGAGTACGGATAGTGATAATAATATACAACCTGCGATTGGAAGATGACAATTAAAGAGGAAGAATGCATTTATACAAAATTAGTTTCGCGTAGGTGGCCCGTAACAGTTTTTATACTCGCCGTAATCTTGCAGTTAATTGTTAAATGATGAATATGTAATTAGTCTAATTGGAAACCGTTAAAATGATCTTTGAGTTCGTAATTCATTCTTAGTCTAATATCTCTTACTTGTACATTATTAGC